TTCTGATAATAGGAGTCAGGAGATAGAGAAAGAGTACTAGTCTAGAGAGTCACCTCATAATTTTAGAAGCAGATGATGTTTCCTGGAAGGCTTTAAAGTTCTAGAATGGAGGTTATGGATATGTTTAGTCCCTCCTTACCTTGTAGTAGCATTTTCTCACTAATTTTTTTTTTTTTTTTAAGACGGGGTTTTGCTCTGTCGCCCAGGCTGGAGAGCAGTGGTGCGATTTCAGCTCACTGCAAGCTGTGCCTCCCGGGCTCATGCCATTTTCCTTCCTCAGACTCCCAAGTAGAGTAACTGGGACTACAGGTGTGCGCCACCACGCCCAGCTAATTTTATTTATGTTTATTTATTTTTAGTAGAAACGGGGTTTCACCGTGTTAGCCAGGATGGTCTCCATCTCCTGACCTTGTGATCCGCCCGCCTTAGCCTCCCAAAGTGCTGGGATTACAGTTGTAAGCCACTGCACCCCGCCTAAAATTCTTTTTTAAAAAAATCTAAACCCAATATAGTAAAAAGTTGAATTTTAAAAAGTTGATTGTTCGATTACAATTTCAGTACTCTATATTACTTTCAACATAATTGTGTGCTTGAAATAGTTCAAATAAAAAGTACATAAAGTATCTCTACCTCAACAAAAGAACAAATTACTCAGTAGTAAATTCTGAAGACAAAGAGAGAGGTAAAGAGAAAAAAGAATAACAGAAATAGTAAACATTCGGCTACTATACAGTAGATACAGTTCCAGTTGCTCTTAAAACATGGACTTTCTTGAACACCCTGATTATTTTAAAAATATGTCAGCTAAGACCTTGGTTGACCTCAGAGATCCAAGAATAATGTCTAGTCTTCAAAGTAACAACATATTGTTGTGAAAATGCCTGAGACATCTAGGATATCAAGCTATTTGCTTAATATACCAGAAGACTCTGAACAGCTGAACTGGCCTTTTCTTAGATTGAATACTGTTTAAGGTTAGTGTTTAAAATATAAAGTTTATTTTTCCTGGCTTACAAATCAAATTTATAAACCAACTCATGCTCTTTATGTAACCTGAAGCATAAAGAAGAAATATTTACATCACTTTAGATGTCTTTAAATGGTCTCATACATGGTTATTTTCTTAAAGAACGATTCTATATCAATTTAATTTTCACTTTTAATTCACAACGAAAGTTTTATGTGTAGACATAGGTCAAAATTTAGCCCAACATTTTAGACCTTTGCAAAATCTCAATTTTACTGGGTTCTGCTAGTGAGGAGCTAGAATTTTTTTTTGGTTTTTTTTTTTTTTTTTTTTTTTTTTTTTTGGAGATGGAGTCTGGCTCTGTTGCCCAGGCTGGAGTGCAGTGGCCAGATCTCAGCTCACTGCAAGCTCCGCCTCCCAGGTTCACGCCATTCTCCTGCCTCAGCCTCCCAAGTAGCTGGGACTACGGACGCCCGCCACCTCGCCGGGCTAGTTTTATTGTGTGCTTGAAATAGTTCAAATAAAAAGTACATAAAGTATCTCTACCTCAACAAAAGAACAAATTACTCAGTAGTAAATTCTGAAGACAGAGAGGTAAAGAGAAAAAAGAATAACAGAAATAGTAAACATTCGGCTACTATACAGTAGATACAGTTCCAGTTGCTCTTAAAACATGGACTTTCTTGAACACCCTGATTATTTTAAAAATATGTCAGCTAAGACCTTGGTTGACCTCAGAGATCCAAGAATAATGTCTAGTCTTCAAAGTAACAACATATTGTTGTGAAAATGCCTGAGACATCTAGGATATCAAGCTATTTGCTTAATATACCAGAAGACTCTGAACAGCTGAGCTGGCCTTTTCTTAGATTGAATACTGTTTAAGGTTAGTGTTTAAAATATAAAGTTTATTTTTCCTGGCTTACAAATCAAATTTATAAACCAACTCATGCTCTTTATGTAACCTGAAGCATAAAGAAGAAATATTTACATCACTTTAGATGTCTTTAAATGGTCTCATACATGGTTATTTTCTTAAAGAACGATTCTATATCAATTTAATTTTCACTTTTAATTCACAACGAAAGTTTTATGTGTAGACATAGGTCAAAATTTAGCCCAACATTTTAGACCTTTGCAAAATCTCAATTTTACTGGGTTCTGCTAGTGAGGAGCTAGAATTTTTTTTTGGTTTTTTTTTTTTTTTTTTTTTTTTTTTTGGAGATGGAGTCTGGCTCTGTTGCCCAGGCTGGAGTGCAGTGGCCAGATCTCAGCTCACTGCAAGCTCCGCCTCCCAGGTTCACGCCATTCTCCTGCCTCAGCCTCCCAAGTAGCTGGGACTACGGACGCCCGCCACCTCGCCGGGCTAGTTTTTTGTATTTTTTAGTAGAGACAGGGTTTCACTGTGTTAGCCAGGATGGTCTCGATCTCCTGACCTCGTGATCCTCCCGTCTCGGCC